CCTTGTCGTGGGATCTTTCCTTGTAGCATGTAATCTTTGGTATGCTTTGTGAGTGTACATGGGGTTATTTCGAACCAGTCAATGTATACTTTGATTACATCTCAATCACTGTGGATCAACTATGCTACCCATTTGTTTTGTTACTTTAAAGATTGATCTGATGCAAACCTTCAACATCTGTACTGTATGTTGTTAGCCTTCTAGATATTAACTGATCATGAAACTGGTCAGTTTATCCTTGCAGTCTCGCCATTACCTTTCTATTATGTGCTGGTGAAGTCTACCAAATACCACTTGTCATTATAACAGTGTGAAGTCTATTACATTTAGAGCTGGGGATTAGTTCATCTCCGTAGCTTATTATCATCTACTAGTACTGATACATTGCACGCTGCAACAACATTTCACATACTTCAACAGCAAGCATGGTAAGCCCCCCGTGCTGCTATCTTTGTATAGTGCTTCATTGAATCGTCGCGCTGAATTTTCAGCCTGTCACGGAAGTTCTTGATGAAATTTTCCGCCCGGCCATTGATGTCTCCTCCCTCATCCTCTGTCATCCCTTGCCTCCCGGCACTCCCTTTCCTCTTTGCATCACTCCCCTTGTTGATTTCATTGCTGCTGTGAGTTGGAATCTCTTTATTATGCTCCATTATAGCTCAAGCTTATAGAGAGTTTGAAAAATTAGGAGAGGAAAGAGGCTGATGGAGACTGTTCTGTGCTAAAAGAGCTTCTGTCTTGTGACAATAACGAAGAAGTAACGACCTTTTTATAGGTAAAATCTAACTCAGAAACATGAGTTGCATGTATAAAAGCAAAAGACAACGGTAGAGAAGCCTCGCTGTTCTATATGCTTATTCTTCGGCTAAAATAATCAGGACGAAAAGTCTACATTGTCACCATAACTTTAGATTTTGTGTAATCACGTTTTGTAAAGAAGATTGGTTCAGAATTTCTTAGCAAAATTCAGACTCTCGAGCGTGTATCATGACAGATCAAGAACCTAATTAGGGCCGAAATCAATAGTTAAATATGTTCTCTAACAATTAAAGTGATATGACTTGATTTTTCATTTGTGGGGTATAAAGAAAAATTGGCTCAGAAGAACATTTTGGTTCCAACCTTTCCCTATCATAGTGGCATGCCAAAAAGGAAATATGATGCTGGTAGAAATTGAAGGTTATAAGCAATCACGTGAAAATCTGTCATAGCTAGATAATAATTTATTATATATAAATTATAAGAATGATTTAACAAATATTTTTATAGACCATTAAAATAAAAATAGATTTAAGAAAAAAGTTGGTTTTATCAGACTATCATAATAATTTAAAAATATTATTAATTTCAATTTAAAAAATGAATCAAACTAAAAATTTTCAAGAAGATTTTTGAGATCTACTTCTACAGGTAAACCACCTTACTAGTCAACCTTTATACAAATTTCCTTAAGTTAGACTAAAAACATCTTGTTTGAGTCAATCTTCTTATTTTTCCTTGATTTTTCGATAATTTATGTTATTTTCATATTTTTAGCTATCTTTCCCTTTTATTTTAGAATTATGATTATTCCTACTTTATTAAGGCCGTTTCAGGCTTATATAAAGACTTCTACATCTTCTAAAGATGCATAGCTTATCAGATTATTAATTCAAAAATAAAACAAAATTTAGAGTTTTTTATGCTTTAATCCTATTTCAACTAGTTCTTTGTCTTTCTGTGCTCGCTGCTACGCTTGTTGTGCTTCCGCCTGCATCAAAAGGATAGTCCATGCATGTTCCCATGAGATGATTCTCTCATGTGTTCATAATTAGTTGAGAAAATGCTTTCTCACAAATGAGATTCAAAGGTCAGAACAGATCAATCAAATCATCTCTTTTCCAACAAATTAAGGTTGATGTTGCCGAGAAGCTTGAAAATGGAACTGAAAAGTTAGAGCACATTAGAACAAGAGAAAGAACAAACAAAAAGCCTAAAGATGGGGACAACACATAACCAGAAAAGCCAAAACAATCCTGCAGAATATTAAGAAAGAAAGAGAGAATCTTCAAGAAAAGTTGTCCACACTTCACTAATTAGACAAGGATAGGATGGAGAGAAAGCATTATGCAGTATCGAATATGGAATAAGGCATCTGAGTAAGCAGGCACTTTCAATAGCTCCTCGTGACTTTGTGTTTTTAGCTGTAAACCATTCTTCATGTATGCTTAGAGACATGACACCTGACACACATCATAAAATGTTGTAGCATTTGCCATTTTTAGCCATTTTGAAAACCTTTTAGATTGCTGAACCCACATTTTTAAAAAATGGAAACATGATGGTAGCAAGAATCAAATTAGTGCAGTAACTCCCGATCTGCTCATGCAAAAATATAGAGCAACATCTGCTATTAGAGGATACAACTTAGTGGGTTTCTGATGCCCTCCTCTTCCTCACCTTGTATTTCTAAAGCATGATTATATCAGTCATGACCATATCATTAGCAGCAGCAACAACCGCAGCTATATGAAAGAATACATGTCACAGGTCAGCCTACGTACAGCAACCTCCCTCCTTTAGCTGGGCTTGGGATCGGCTGATCAGCTATGCTAAGTTCTAATTAACCTATGTTAGTATGGTTAAAAAACCATTTCAATTCAAAAACTTAAACCAAGGACTCGTGAATAGTTTTATATTGTTTTATATTATACTCTAACAAGCATTTATGAAATTATGATTATTAGCACTGGTCGAAAAATTTGACGTGAGAACTGGTCAGTCATGACAAAGACTTGGCAAAGAAGCATCAAACGAACTGTAAAATATGTCTTTCATAAAACGTTATTGATCAACACCATTACATGTACATTTCATCTTACAATAGAAATTTTTATAATAAATCCCGGCATGCTATACTGCTGAAATCTTTAAACCCTCCAGGAGATCATCTAGTGGAAGCGTTTAAGCGAATCTTGGCGCTGAATCTTAAGTTGATCGCGGAAGTTCTTAATGAAAGCATCAGCCTTTTCATTTATATCTTCCCTATAGTCCTCCATAATCAACCGATTTTGCAGCCTTGTTTCCCTCCTTTCTTCTGTTTTCTTGTCATCAATGTCAGGACTATCATGCTTAGCAACTTCTTTATGATCTTCCATTTAGTCTGCTTGGTTGGCCAAGGTTTCTAGCTAAAGAGAAACGGAGGTAAAGAGAGATGGATTGAGAAATTCCTCGTGCGATGGTTGGAGAAAGAAAGCATAATCTTGTATTTATATGCATCAGAATGTAACCTTTGAAGCATGTTTTAGACATGGGTCTAAGCAAAGAAAGCTCCAACAAAGTTTTTATTAAAGTTATTAAACTCAGCCGGTCTAGATTAAAACCGGGTCATAGATTAAAAAAATTAACCCGGATAAAACTGGGTCATAGATTAAAAAAATTAACCCGGATCAATCAAAATAATATTATTTTAAGATTGTTTTTAAAAAAAATTAAACAACATAATTTTATTTTATTGTCAAGTGAAATCAAGTTTTGACCGGATTAATCAATCACATGTTAACCTATAAAATTAAATTTGATTATATCTCAGGTTAATGGGTTGCTGAGTCGACTTGTCAAATCAAGCCGGGTTGAATTTGTTTTGGATTTGCTTGTGAACAAGATGACCACAAGTGGAAGGAAAAAAAAACAGTTGAAGGGCTGGTTAGATTCAATTATTGACGAAGTTGCTTTTAGGCTTTCTATGATCTTGTTTCGTGCAGCATTATTCGAAGTTTTTGAAGGGGTAATGTTAAAGAATAAAGAATTACCTTGTGATGAAGAAGAGGAAAGAGCAAAACCTTTCTGTTTTAAAGGGAGGATCTTATGGTGGCAGCGTAAATTACACAAGCTAAAAAGTTAGGATAAAAGAGGCAAGAATCTGAATTGAGTGTCTAAATGTACAAGTTGTTGGCCATGAAAAGCAACCTTGTGCTTGTGAGAAACACCTTAATCTACCGTTGCCTGCTTTTTTGGTCAGAAAATAAGTGATTAAAGGTATATTTATGACATTCTTTTGACGATTTTTATCTCTTGAATTTAGTACATGACCTATTACATGATTTTGCTATCACAAGTTCATTTCTGCATACCTTGATCCTTGATTTGGGTGTTTTAAGGTTTTAAAATCTTGAATCTACAAACTAAAATCCAAACTTCTGTTTTGATTAGAGTTTTTGAATGATTTTTTTTTATACTAGAACATTGCTTGCAGGGTTGAAAGAATTGTTTTGATGATTTTTTTTTTTTGAAGAAAATTGATAGATAAAAGATAAAGTTTCGATAATGAATAGTGGTAGAAAAAGCTCTAATTTAAACATCCAATAGTTAAAATCAATAAACACTAATAGTTAAAATCAATAAACACTAAATGCTTATGTTTTGTTAACATCTTAAAATTAAAATCAATAAACATTAAATGCTTATGTTTTGTTAACATCTTAAAACCAGTATTTGTCAATACCAGTATTTGTCAATGTAATAACTTTTATTTTTTATCTTTTTAGTTATAATTTGATATAAAAAATAAATTTAAATAATAAAAATCAAACAACTTTTAAATTATTGTCGGTCGGAAAACATCTTCAACTACACCCTGATGACATAGAAACCTATACTAAAACACATAAAAAAATTAGGTTATGAATATGAGTTTTTTCTTGCACAAGTATATCTTGTGGGTGAAGTAATTAGAGTGATATAAAATAAATTTTTCATTGAAACAAGATTTTTTTTAATATATCTTTTTAAAACGAAAAGGAGGCTGAATCAATTTCGGGTCCTGTTGTCTAATGGCAAACACTGCAGATATCCACGGCTGACCCAACAGATTATTCTACCCTTCCTTGAAATCAAAGACGCACGAATGCTTGCTTAAAGAAAGACAAGTAGCGAGTCACTGGATTCACTTCTACTAACTCATATCGAAGAAACTGCAACTCTTTTGCTACAGAATTTCCTGTAACCTACCATTTTGTGTATGAGAAATCACACGAGAGCTTTATCTTCAAGATTTCACAAACTAATGCCTCAGGCTGTATCACATACCAGCTAGTCCATAAATGCCAACTAAAATATGGCCTTGGACCTGTACTTAAGACATGCCCGAATGGCTTAATCCCTATAGTTTGATCTACTATTTCATCTACAATAGTTTCTGCAATTATGCTAATTCAATTAATTTCTTAGCAGAAGATGAGCTCCCGACGAGAAAATAGAAAAATAATAGAAAGCATCACATTCACATCATAAATGTTGAGAGTATCTATCAATGCATTAATTTGCTTCAAATTTCTCAAAGATTATGCTCTAGAACTTCAAAGTAAGCAGGCAAAACATGAGAAGATTTGGCCTGCTTCCACCTGCAACAAGAACAGGAAACCATCTTAAGTTGTTGAAAAACTTCCCTATAAAAATCTACCGGATGGCAAAACTTCTAATGAAACCAAATTACATTTCTCATTGTTGATTGTATAATAATATGAGTGAGTTCTTGGCCTCAGATTACTACACGAATGACATATTAAACTGAAAGACAATTGAAGTTAAATAATTCATAATGGAATTTGGAAAAACTGGCATCAATTGAGATGATACAGGAACAATCTTAGAAGGATGAGATCAGATGTTATATAGATCATCATGCATCATGCTAACACAAACTAGGAATCCGTTGTCAACTTTCTTTGCTCGAAAAAAATTATGATTCACCTCTAGGGTGCTCAAGTGTCCAAAAAACACAATGGTTTAGATGTTTTGGAAAGAGGGAACAACACACTTGCTCCTTCCCGCCCGGGCTTCGACTTGATAAGAAGTCAGGTAACTGTGTAGTCAAGTCAACTTGCGAGTCACTTGGGCAATCAAAATTCCTCAAACATTAGCCAACAACTCCCCAATTTTGAATGCTCATTCATTCTGAAACAACAATTTCACATGAAAATTCAGAATCCCCAAACCATCAACTCTGTTCAACGAAATTCAGTAGAAACAAACCGCAAAAGGTAACGAGATAACACCCACTAATTAAAGTCGGTCAAATCGTGACAAAACACAGCAACCCGTTAATCCAAACACTTTGAAAGATGAGAAGAAATTTGAAGCTTTAGACATTAAAACAAAGTGCTTGTTAAATTGTGTTCTATAAAGTTCGCCTCAAAGCATATCACGGTAATGGCACTGAGCCTCCCATCCTTAGACGCCTTATCTGATCCTAACAGACTGACAAAAATGGAATGCCTTTTCCTCCCTGACTATAACATGCATTGAATAATCTCTTTTGTTTCCTGGAGTATCGCACAAATTTCCATTCACGGATCGAAATGAAGTTGGTGAGAATTGTGCATTACTGAGAAAAAGAGAAGGGATTTATCGTTCCATAAATTTCCTATCAATCTCACTGAGGGTTCTTGACTATTAAAAGGCATAATTGCAAGGTACATTTGCAAATGCTCATTACTCTTCAGGACACCAGAATAAGAAGCTCATATTAGATCCTATCTATTAGTCCCAAAATCAAATCACGCCAACTACAAGAAAGCTTCCAAATCTCCTTTCAGAATAAGTGATCATCACATGTTTGCTGAAACCTAAAAGGAACCCAAGACTCCAAATGGATCTCATCAATTATCCCTAAAGTATCCAGAAAACCCATAATCACCAAAATTTTTCAGATTCAAATTAAAATTCCCATCAATTTTCTTTGCTAATTCACTGACAAAGCATAATGTGAAGGATAACTCATTGCATCAAAGTCTAAGTAGTAGTATTATCAAACAACAAAACAAACTCAATTAACTCATAAGAAAACAAATAAAACCAAGAAATTCAAACAATTCTGAGAAACAAAACCGCAAAGATCACATCTTTTTACCTTCACATGGACTCCAACTCTGCCCTTAGCCCACCAACCTTCCTCTTACAAGCAGGAACAACCTCAAACTGCTTAGCAGCCAACTCCTCAGAAACAGAACCTACAAAGAACTTAATCATACCACTATCAACCTTGCTAACTTCAATCCCAGTAAAAGACAACCAAACAGAAAGCTTCTTTGCCTGAATCCCTGACACATAATGCACAGAACCATAACTCAACTTCCCTTTGATCTCTTTACCATATTACAAACCTCATCGAAGTGAACATAACATGAGTTCTTAAGTTTGACTTCAAAGGTCCCATCAGATGGTGATAGCGTGTAGGATTCTACATTGTCTGGGAGTAAGCCACGTGGCAGGCCATACTGAGGGAGAAGTTCATGGATGTCTGTGATCGTCAGGGGGAGAGAAAGATGGGTTCTTGATAAGAGGAGGAGAGAGAGAAGGTATAGTGCGAGGATGTCAAGGGAAGCCATTGTTGATGCAGTGAGAGAAGGGAAGGTGGTAATTTAAGAAGGTTGTGAAGGGTAGAATGGGAAGATAAATTTGTGTTCCGTGGCTTCGAGGATTCATACGTTGGATTTTCGATGATGACAAAGATGGACAAGAATTCTGCACACAGTTAAAAATAAGTCCCTCCACTTTTAATTAGTTAGCTAGTTAGCCCTTATACTTTTCAAAATGATAGCTGATCCTTTTACAGAAAAAAAACTAGAGAGAGTAAATTATTTAGTTCTTAAGAACATAGGGATTGTATAAGACTTATATATATATATATAATCATCTTAATGAATGATAAATGTAGGGAGAAACCTTTTTACTATACAAGACAATCCTAAAAAAAATATAAAAACAAAAAATCATAAATAAATAAAGGGTATATAGCTTTTTTCCGACCATAAACAATATTTTCTAGTGAATTTGCATGTAAATTGAGTCAATTTTTTTTTTTTTGAAAATATCTTATGAATGTATCTTTCTTATTGATTTGATGTATCAAAATAAATTTGATAAATTATATTGGATGTTAATTCTAAGATTTGAACCTTATAAATTAAGAAATTGAACATCCTTCTTTATCTTATCAAGAAATTCTTGATCCAATACAGTAAATCAATTTTAAAAATATAAGAATTCTCTTATATAACAATTAGTTTTCAATTATAAAAATTACATAATTAATTCACAAAGGGATGAAACGAGACTCCACTTACCATGTAGGTTCAATGATGGACCACTCTTGGAAAGAAAAATCATATTCTTTATTTGAAAAGATTAGATATACTTGAATTGCTAATTCTTTTTTGTTTTTTAAAGTATTTTTTTATTTTTTTTTTCAAGTGTCTTTTTTTAATAATTTTGATGTATTAATATTCAAGTGTTTTTTTTTAATAATTTTGATGTATTAATATTAAAAATATATAAAAATATTAATTTAATATATTTTTAATTGGAAAATACTCTACACGCAAAATGAGGATATTATGGGTTACCTTGTTATTATCAATAGTTTACCAAATTAATTAGCTTAAGAGACAGAGATGAGCTGCCCAGAATATTTAGAACAGTTAATTTAACAGAAATTATCTTCCTCTGGTTAATAAAACTCGAATTTGCTTAGATTTCTTGGGTAGATACACATACAAAATACATAACTATTACGTTATGCTTTTTTCCGTCGTATATTATAATTATAAAACTTAAACCTAGATTAGTTTGATAGATCTGGACCAATCCATTTTTAAAATATAAAATAAAAGGAAAAAAATTGATTAATTCAATCAATCATTGACTTATTTTTCTTACAAAAAAGATTTTTTAATCAAAACATCATTTTAAACTTTTTTTTTTAATTTATTCTCTCAACTTAACTCCCACCTCAATCTTAACTTAACTCATGACCTGAATTTAATCCCAAAATGGGCTTTACAACCATGATAGACAGTTCAACTGCTAAGTGAGGCAACTATTACGAAGACATGTAATTTGATATGCAAACGAGATTGCCATCAACAGCTTGTAAAATCTAATAGCTACCACTGTTATTATGAAGTGCCTGGTGCTTGAGGCAGCACTCTTGCCCCAAACGAGATTGCCTGGTGCTTGAGGCAGCACTCTTGCCCTGCCCGTAAACGCCATGTCCAGCGGATTTACTGTCGCCCCACACCAACAGAACCCGTCTACACCTGTAGACAATGGTCATCTGCCTCTAGCAGTCCCTTCCTTGCCAAGTTCCTCCAAAACAGCAATAAATACTTTACTAATTGTGTTAGTTTTGCACTAGGACATAAAAATCGATCTCAAACTATTTCATCCGATATTCATAAAATCACGTTCTAAAGTAGTTCCTTCTTATAGCTTTCCAGACACAGAGTTGAGACACATAATATTACATTTGCTACTTGTCCAAGCGCTGATATATATATATATATATTATGACATTCCACAGCTTACTGATGTTCATAAAGCTCAATGAGAGGAGGTATACTCCACAACTAGTTTACATAATACTCTGCCAGACTCTTACGTTGTGAGTCTTGAGGCAAGACACTAAAACTGGAATGCCAATTACTTGGATATCAAGCTCCCTCAGCTACATTCCCATACAGCAAAAGCACTTGGTTGTATATCTATTCGGTGAGTAGCATTTGAACATCATTGTTCGGAGCTGGGAGCTGCAAATTGTTGAGAAAAGAAAGCAAACAGCTTAGGATAAGTTCTAAGAAGGGAAACAGAAATCGCCAACAATTAATTCCTAATATACCAAGAAGAAAGTATATGCATTAATGCCACATTTATACACCAATAGTGATAACATTGGAAGAAACCATGTTAGGGAACAAGGTTGAAACCGCATTCCCTTAAAATTTAATTTCTTTTTTTTTTTTATGTTTTCAAATCGTTTTAATACATTTTAATACATTTCAAAAAATAAAAAAACAATATTATTTTAATACATTTCTAAACAAAAAACATTTTAAACCTCAACCAACCACTACCATAATCTCACACAGGCTGAAGCTGGCTTCCGAACCACAAAGGAAGCTTAATTTATCAACTACTAAAAGAGCGGAATTCAAACAACCATCAATTCTACCAGAAAATGAATCCCTCACTCTCGAATAAACCCTACTGGCACAACGTCATGATCTATTAACAATAATGTTTTTGCATAATGTGACGTCCTCGATGATCACTAAACTCTCTAGTACATAATGATTGATATACTGGACAGACATAGAATTCCAAAACATAGTAATAAAAAGAGGTTGACTTTCAATCACAGTAGGTAATTCCAAGGATGGACAGCTCAAGATCAGTCTTTCGATATTGCAGTATATTCTATGACTTCAATCCCAACAAAATCTCAACCAAACCAAGACAAACTTCATAAACATCAACTAGAGCAACTACAAAACTACAACACAAATCCAATTAACAAAATTAAGAACAGGACACAGACAACAAAAACGACAATAATCAACCTCAAATTTCAAAACAGCATTTTTATCAAACAAATATTGATCTAATAGAGCTAGTACCTCAAGAAACTGCTTCCACAATCCACCACAAGACCCAGAGGAGACACCAGCACGGCAAGAATGAACGGTCTTAAACTGGTCAACATCAAGCTTCTTATTAATCCACCCCACTTGAAAATAAATCGAGTCAGAAGGTGGTAAATCAACCCTGATGTCATCAACACCAAGCCAAAGGAAGAACCTTTGAACCTGAATCCCCTTCAGATTCGAGATAGATCCATAGCTCAACTTCCCAGTTATTTTCTTCTCGTAGTAGACCAGGTAATCAAACTCAACATAACATTCCTTCTCTAAATAGACAGTAAAGCTACCATCATCAGAAAGACTGTAACTTTTTACCGTGTTAGGTAACAGCCCACTAGGAAGACCAAATTTTGGCAAGATTTCAAAGACTGTAGGAGAAGGGTCTTGTGAGAGAGTGGGTTTTGTGAGAGAAAAGAAGAGAAGTAAAGAGAAAAGAGTTAGACCCAGATGAGAATTTGCCATCAATTTGAGTTTTCCTTGATGGGGTTTCGATTTGAGAGAGCGAGAGATCCTTCGGAGAAAAAGAAGTGTTGTGTTCCAAGTTTCGAAGGATTTTGGCAGTTGTGTCGTGTTTGGATCTCTTTTTTAAGGAGTGTTTTTCAAACCCCGGTGGTAGTCAAGATGGTAAAAGAAAAGTTTATTTTTTCTTCTTATATTTTAAGAATACTTAAAGATGATTTGAATAAATTATTTAATCTATATTGATGTATAAACTCTGACTTTATTATAACAAAAAATAATTTGAGTAGAGTGTTTCATCTTTTTTTTTTATTTAATGATAATAAATTTATTATTTTATACATTAATTAAGATTAAATCTTTTTATGCGGTAACCACATAAAAAAATATAAACTTTATTTTTATCAACAATTCGCTATGAAAACCAACCATAAAATTATGAGTGATCTTGAGAAACATGTCAGGTATTGGAGCTTTTTAAGAACGCAATTTAATGCATTCATAATAAATTTTTTTCTGAAAATATTCATGATTATTGAATAATAAATATATATGTTTTTGGGTTTTGTTTTGATTTAGTTTTGGGAGATGATTTAGACCTCATTCGTTCATGAGGTCCCTTTATGAAGATGCTAGGTTTGTTATATGGTAATTATGGGGTTATAATTGGATCAACATCAATAGTTTCTAGCATATCCCATTTTTAGGATTTTCTTATCAAGAAATCTTGAATTCTAGAGTGTCCAATGAGTATCATGGAAGAAAGAGAGAAATAAGAGAGATAAAATAAATAAATAAATGTATTTAAGTCTTGGTGGGAATATATAAATTTTAAATTTTAGATGTGATGTTTTCTTTTCTTATATCATCTCTTTCTTCCTTCAAAGTAAATCTATATTGTTATTAATCATTAATCTTATCTACTATTTGCTGGTTTTTTAAGTTACCATCATACTAATTTAAAGAAATCAAAGTTATGTTGATTCACTTCTTTGAAATAAATCCATACTTTCGTCTCTCTTAAGAATCAAAAGTGGTGGAATTACATAAGTTACTAATTTATTTAAGATCATTGATTAGTTTTAGAGCGTGTGGATAAACAGAAAAATAATTGATTTTATAATAATCTTGTAAGTATAATAATTCATGTTGATAGATGCTAAGATCCCAATAATAAGCTTAGCTAGGTTAAAATCTGAAGGATAGAAGAAATCTCACTTTAAAATTGCAGTTTATTAGCAAAATAATTATTTTCAAATATTAAAATTCAGAATTTTCAATAAAAAGTCTTAATTTGAAGTCTTGAAAGAGTTGAGTTATTTATAATTGAACTTGGTCTAATAATGAGTTGAACATGTCAACTCAAAACTGCATCATTTTGATGTTGTTTTGGAAAAATAATTAAAATACTAAACAGAATTTTGAATTTAAACCATGATAAGGTTTGACCAAATTAATTTCTATCCGATTTAATATAAAGATTGATCCACACCAAGTTTATTATTGGAATAAACTGTGGAGCCAAACTTGATTTAATAACATTATAATATAAAATTATAAAAGAATTATCCCATATTATAGCTCAGATTAAATCCATGAAATGAAGAAACTACTAAAAACTTTCATAATCTTAATCGTAAAAAAGAGGTAAAAAAGACATAAACAATCGACACAGATCTTATAATCATCACACTCTTAGCACAAACAATCTCTGCCTCTGTCCTCAATCCTCATTGGAGCAGTTTGGTATGAACTTTGAACCTTGAATTGCAAAATTCCCGCTAGCCAAGTTGAGATAGGTAGGAGGATGTGACTGCTCGACCCCATGGCCGAGATCGAAGGCATATCAAGAGCAAGGAAACAAAACCATTAACGAAAGCTTATGCGTATACTCTACTTCACTAAGTAGCAGACAGTTTCTTTTCTTTCCTGTCCTTTTCATTCGTTGAGCCTCTCTTGCACCCTAGGCTCTAGGCATCTTGCAATTACCAAAAAACAAAATAAAAAATTAAAATTGAAGCCTAAAGATGGAGAAGAAATGCATTGCTCAAAGGCATCACATACATAGCATAAATGTAAATAATTTAAAGCATTCACGGGAATGTTTGATGATATTCTAAAAATTCTGATAATATAAAAATGAAATTTTAAATTTTAAAAAATTAATTAATCAATTAGTCCTAATTCTAGAAAAATACTTTTAAAATATATATGTAATAAAGAAAGAATATTATAAATCTCTGTTTTAAAGGTCTCATGTTATATTTATAACTTACATATTTTGTTATTTTGTGAAGAAAATGAGCTGGAATGTAATTTTATTTTTATGATATTTTGAATTATATTATAAATTATATTTTATTTATTTTATCTAATTAAAAAATGTGTCATGACTTGCATAAAAAACTAATATATTTGATGGTCTTAATAAAATATAAACTTGTTTAATTAAATTTATTTATTAAAAAATAATTTATTTATGATTTTATATATAAATTTATAAAAATAAAATTGTTAGATCCGATTATTTTTTGGGTTTAGCTAATATCATATTGAGCATTTTTAGGGCTCCACACATTATCAAACTTGGCATATCTTTATTGAAGTGTGTGTTTTTTTTAAAAAAATTATAATCATAAATCTTGTTTAATTTTTAAAAAAAAAAATTATAATCATAAATCTTGTTTAATCTGATATTTTTTCAGTAAAGATATAATGAAAAAAATATTGTTTATTAATGTTTTAAAATTTTTTCGATTAATTTTTTTTAAAAAAAAGCCAACGTTCACCCAGTTTACACAACTCAAACTAAATCGAGACACGAAAACATATCGGTCATTTTTACCTAAATTGAAATTTGAAACGAAGCAGATACAAAGAGCGAGAGAAACAGAGCAAGCCCTTTCTTTTCTCACACTCTGTTTCCCCCCAATACCCTTTTTTCCCGCAACCTCCACACCAATAACAAATAACGAGTGCTACAAGCTACTATATGAGGTTATTCGAGGAGCAAATATATTATGGGTAAGAATCATACGTGCTAGCTACTACAGCTCAAGATTCCTACCAAAGAGCATGGAAACGGAGGCGTTTTACATCCTCTCATGTAGAGAAGGAACGAGTCCCTTGGAAAGTGTGAATGAAGGAAGGTAATTTCTTTTTTTATTAATATAAGTATTTAGATGAGCTTGCATCAACCTCGCTCGACTATTTTACTGGGCTGAAGTTAACCATGAAGGGAGTCCTTTTTATATCCTAGATGATGGCAATTGATAATCGAGAAATCAATGGTTGCAGGGGCTTCTCCAATCTCCATGCTGCTTTTCCCTGGGCAGACCGAGGAGATGGACACAGCCCATTTCTCCACTAGTTCTTTTGGTCCTGGTCCAAGCCAGCTCCGAGCTCCTGGCCAAGCCTTTTTTTTCTGTGCCCTAGGCTACTACTTTTTGAGGGCTTCTCATACCTTCTTACTGTGCAAGGGCATGCACATGTTTGTACTTTACTCCAATCATCTGGGGGAAAAAACAATAATGCACATGTTTGTACTCTACTCCAATCATCTGGGGGAAAAAACAATAAAAAAAGCTCAGGATTGGACTGCGTAGCATGGCATGCACTCTGACTAAGGTTAAGGCTTTGTTTGTATTTTATCAGCTTAAATAAATGTAGTAAGTGTTTGGTAATAAATTAAATTATATTTTATATGTGAAGTTCATTAAAGAATTAAATTTAAAATGTAGTTTTTATAAAATAATTTTATATATTTTTTAATTGAGTTTTATAAAATTCTGTTTGTATTTTTTAAATATATCAAACATTTGTATAAATCTAACTAACCATTATTAACTATATTTTTCTAAAATTTTATTTTTTAAAAACCACAATCATTAAAAACTACTTAAAAAATAAATACATTCTAAACATTTAGATTAAATAATTAAAAGTTTAAATATTTAGATTAAAATGTAAACATTTACCTTTAGGGTTCCATAGCCCAACCCTGCTTCCAAAAATTAATAAGATCCGGACTACCTAGCGATGTGCTTTAATTGTTGTGTTGTGACAAGGGACAAAAACAGTATTGATAATTGAATGAATGTTGTGTTTTTAATAAGATTGTATTTTTATTTGATAAAACAATGAACTCAGAAATAAATTATTTTACTTTTAGTTAAGATCATGAAGTTAATATCTGCTTTATGTTAAAAATAGAACATATTTATTTTAAATTTTATGTGATTTGATTTTTATTTTTTAAAACCAAACACTTCTTTGATTAGACACTTGAAATCTGGACCTCTTTTTACGAATCAAACTATTCCAAGCAAGTATTATATTATTCAAAAGTTTAATATATCTTGCTAGCACGAATCAATGTATGATCCTAACAGGAAACCAATTGAATGTGATAGCTATAAATATGATGTGAAATTAATTGATATGATGTGAAATTAATTGACGAGGACCACAAGATAATTAATATCTGTCTTGTCTTATTTATTTAGAAGCTAATTTATGCACATTAATTTCAACAAAATATAATATTATATCAGCATGTATGCATTATATAATAAAGCATAATATACGAGACGGATCGCTGCATATATATTTGAATCCATGAAATATATAACGTGCTGCTAAATTTCTCTTACTATATAGCAGAACATTACCCATAATCAAATATTGGTTAGGATGAGTTTTTTTCCGACAGGTAAAAACTTGTTTTAGTTTTTGAGATTCCTTGCTTCTACAAGGTCCAGGAGCATTGCATAGATATAGTTGTAAGGCTCGGATTCACCTGTGAATCTATCCAGTCGACTTGAGATTTAAATCGGCTTAGATTGAAGAAAATAGAAAAAGTAAAGAACCTGATTGATATTGCTAAAAACTCTAGTTTATCTGCTGATTTCGGTTGACATGGACAAATCCTGAATCTTGACTGATATTGTTAAAACTCTAGTTTAAACTCCTGACCTACAACTCGGATCTTATCCCGAGTTTACTCTTGAATTATGCTCTGCGTTCATGGTTCAAAAAAGCCGCAAGAACATTTATTTAATTGTTTCTCACTTTCAAGACTAAATCAAGCAATTTTTAGCGATGGTTTTTGGAGAAAAAGCTGGAAAACCCTAATTGTAAAACATGTAGA